TCCAGCCTGGGCAACAGAGCAGGACTCCATCTAAAAAAAAAAAAAAAAAGTAGAGATCAAAACAAAAAAAAGTACACATAAGATGAAGTTCAAATTAGAATTGATGGTAAATATAAAAGAAAGATTGAAAATATTCTTTATAATTCATAATCTCAGGAGTGGGGAAAGAAAATACTATATCACTTAAACAAAAAGTAAACTATAAAAAAGATCATTTGACAACAAGAAATAATCCTTGAAAATCAAAATTATAAGAAAATAAATTAGAAAAACAAATTCTATAAAATGGGTGGAGGAAAAACTTGAGAAATTTCCTAGACGATAAACACTAAAAAGGAAGAGGTAAAAGAAAAAGTATAATGATAGTAGAATATCAGCCCAAGAGCACTAGGGTTTCACTAACAGGAATGCTAGAAAAAAGACATTAGAATAAAGATATGAGGAAAAATAGGAAATAAGTATAAAAAAGAAGTCTCAGAAGCTAAGGGTGTGAGTTTCCTGTTTAAAGCTTCACATTGAATGCCCAATGGAAAGAATAAAAACAGACTTAAAAGACACATCACTGCAGAATTTAAGAATTCTAGGAATAAATACAAGATCCTGAAAGTCTCCAGATAGAAAAATTGAGCCTCAGACACAGGATCAGAAATCAAAATTGTATTGTGTTTTTTAATAATTATGTCATCTGGCAGAAAGTGCAACTAAAATTCAGAGGAAATCTGATAACAGATCTCAACTTTTGTATTCAGTCCAACTATACTTCGGGTACATAAGAACAATACAACTCTTTCCAGCCAAATTACTGAAAACTATTCTCTCTCTTTTGCTCTCTCTCATGCATCTTGTCTTTGTTAACAAAACTCTCTTAAGCAAATTCGTGTGCTTACAACTAAATGACTCTGAGTTACCTTTGACATCATTTACTAGCTAGAGAATACTGGTACCTCCACTTTTGTGTAAACCTCAAATTTTTTAATCTGTATTTGAAGTTACTGATTTCTTTTAAGCTAATAGTTTGCTCTTTATTTTAGAACATATTTCCTCTTTTTGTAACTGCAAAAGTTCCTTTTTCTTAGCCTCCCCCAAAATGTCATTATTTAGTACACTGTACTGTCTGTTCTGCATCTTTGACATTTTAATGCTATTAACACTTAATCTCTTCTTGTGCTGTCATCAGTGATCACCAGGGTCTTTCAGAGAGATCAGACCTTGGTAGCAGAAATAAACTGTCCCTGAAGAGGAAGTAAGATTAGCTCATAACCTAGCAAAAATTAAAAACAGGTTTCGAAATTATGAAACGTATCTCCATGTAAGGTAAGTTAACTGCCTGATAGTCTTTACATGAAGACTACCAATATAACATGCTTTATACAAAAACCACAACGTCAAGGCATCTGTAAACATAAACCATAATATCCAGCATCTAATCAGGAATTATCCAACATGCCAAGAAGCAGAAAATATGAACTATAACAAGTAACTGTGGAAATTTTTAAAAAATACCATGAAGTGACACAAATGAAGAAACAAGCATGCAAAGATGTTAAAACACTTTTATAATTGCATTTAGGTATTGGCTATGTAAGCACATTCTTCTTTTCAAACTAAATATAAAAAAACCTTCCTTTCCAAAAATTTAACGACACAAACCACTACTGAAAACATACACATAAATAAACATGAAGCCTCTCCATTAAGAGAAATATACTTCTATGCACTTACTGTCTTTATTATTCACCTCCAGGATCTCAAAATTATGTGTCTGTCTTGGATAAATTATTGTGTCAGACTTGGATATGACTTGTGGTCCATCAATATACATTTAAATTTTAATTTAAGCACTTCTAACACAGTGAGAAAATATAATAGGATAACCTTTGTTAAAAAAAAATAACATGTATAGGCCAGGCACGGTGGCTCACGCCTGTAATCCCAGCACTTTGGGAAGCCGAGGCAGGCGGATCACGAGGTCAGGAGATCGAGACCACCCTGGCTAACACGGTGAAACCCTGTCTCTACTAAAAATACAAAAAATTAGCCCGGCATGGTGGCGGACGCCTGTAGTCCCAGCTACTTGGGAGGCGGAGGCAGGAGAATGGCGTGTACCCGGGAGGCGGGGCTTGCAGTGAGCCAAGACCATGCCCCTGCACTCCAGCCTGGGCGACAGAGGGAGACTCCGTCTAAAATAAGAGAACTGTGTAAATATAAACTTTAGTGATTTTAAATTCATTGACTAAGTCTTCACACTGTACATAACAAGGACTCGTTGCCCTGATACTGAAAAGCCAGTCCTTGATAACCCAACCTGGGGATGATATTGGTGAAAATGATGGAGTGGATCTGCTTTCACCTCTTCTATTCAACATTATGCTGGAGTTTCTTGCCAAGGCAATAAAACAAGAAAAAGAGAAAACAGACTCAAATAGGAAAGGAAGAAGTGAAACAGTCTTTATTTACAGATAACATGATCTTGCATATCATGTCGTCCTAAAACATTCACAACAACAATAAAAATTAGAGGTAATAAACAAGTTCAGCAAGATTACAGGATACAGATCAATATAAAATATTAATAGTGCTTTTACAGACTAGCAATGAAAAATCCGAAAATGAAATTTAGAAAAATCTTTGTTTACAATAACATCAAAAATAAGAAAATAAAGAATAAGTTTAATAACAGAAGTGTAAGAGTCATTCTGTGTACAATGCAAACCATCTTTGAAATAGATTAAGGAATATCTAAATAAAGGAGAGATTCTGTATTTATGGACTGAAAAAATTAGTATTACTCAGTTTGCAGTATTCCCAAAATTGATCTGATGAATCCTAGCTGCGTTTTTTATGGCAGAAACTGACATACTTATCCTAATTTTTTAACACTCTACATGCTAGTAATTTTTTTTACTTTTATACAACTAGATCATCAGTCATATTTCTTTTTCTTTCTTTCTTTTTTTTTTTTTTTTTGGTGACGGAGTCTTGCACTGTCTCCAGGGCTGGAGTGCAATGGCTCGATCTAAGCTCACTGCAACCTCTGCCTCCTGAGTTCAAGCCATTCTTCTGCCTCAGCCTCCCGAGTAGCTGGGATTACAGGCCTGTGCCACCACACCCGACTAATTTTTTATATTTTTAGCAGAGACGGGATTTCACTATGTTGGCCAGGCTGGTCTTGAGCTCCTGACTTCATGATCCGCTCGTCTTGGCCTCCCAAAGTGCTGGGATTACAGGCATGAGCCATGGCCCATCAGTCATATTTTTCATATGAATAAAAGTCTACTTTTTAGTGAAAAATGATTATTCTCATTCTGGAAAACTCTTATAGCCTAATTATAACATTCAGCATAGCATAAATGATTTGGTAATTCAACATATAATTACTGAGTGACTGTTATGTTTCACACAAAACTAAGTGATGAAAATAAAAATAATAAAATGTGAGTCTTACCCTCAAAATCTAGACTGCATAACTGAACTACGGCATGGATTTAGAACTCAGTTATCACTCTTAAAATGTACTAGTTATACCTTTGGGAGGCAGAGGCGGGCAGATCACGAGATCAGGAGATCGAAACAATGGTGAAATCCAGTCTCTACTAAAAATACAAAATATTAGCTGGGCGTGGTGGCGGGCACCTGTAGTCCCAGCTACTCGGGAGGCTGAGGCAGGAGAATGGAGTGAACCCGGGAGGCGGAGCTTGCAGTGAGCTGAGATCACGCCCCTGCACTCCAGCCTGGGCAACAGAACGAGACCCCACCTCAAAAAAAAAAAAGTACTGGTTATGCAACCACCTGCAGATAATAAAACCTCTAAAAGTCAGTTTTTCATGTATAAAATGGAGATCAAAATGTAGTAGGTATTGTCTAGTCACATACAAACAGTTAAAACAGCCCAGAAAAGGGAGAGTGTCATGGCAGTGTCATGGCAGTCTTAAGAGACAGAGGTCAGTGCTCAAGCCTCATCCAGGATCAGAAGCTGGTCTTTATACTGAGGAATCCCTAAATGCCACAAAGCCAGGATCTGTTCTCTAGTTATTTAATTAACCTAAGTTAAATTTCTTGGATGAGGGGTAGGGATGAGGTGATTGCAGTTTAGATTAATTCTGTAGAAAGCACTTGAGTGGTTATGGAGTAAACCAGTTTTTCCATATGCAGATTTCCAGTTAATCTACTGGTCATAAGCTACTGGATCCTGCCATTTTTCATATCTGACATTTCTGAGTTCTATGTCCTATGACGGTTTCACAGGTGGCTAGGCTCTCCTCCATTATTTCCCTCTGTATGGTTTTGGCTGCATTTTTCTCTCATTTTACTTCTTCATCAATGATCACATCTCCATCTACTCTCCATTTTCCAGGAATTCATTGAAATTTTTCATCAACTAATAGAACCCTGAGCCTTTCTGTGTTATTGTTTTAGACTTACAAATTTTTATTCACTTAATACAATTTTGGTGGAATTTTAGAAGAAATAGGAGATAAAATCTATGTTTGCTGTGTTGTATTCAATGGTAAATTTCTGAACACCTCATTTTAAAATTAGTTTTTTTTTTCTTTTATGCCATTATCTTGAATTATTTTAACAGAGTTATTTCTGTTTCTTAAATATATGTTTTTTAGTTCAGAAGTCCTCTGCATAATTCATGTTTTACCTCAGTTTAATGTTAATATTATAAAGCATACAGGAAAGCAAATAGCTTTCAGAATATTTAAGGTACTATCTAGATATACAATGCATTTCGAGAGGAGGATAAAAGACCTAGTGCCGCTTTCTGTGACTTTCATAATAAAATCTCTTCTTTTTCTTGTTCTGTTTCCCAAACAGCTGTCCTACTTTGGAGAAGATGCTGGATACTCAGAGTTTCTGCCAGAGAATATAGGCCTGAACTAAAAGAGGAAGTGGCCTATAGAAGAAAATGATGAGCTATCTTCTGTGGTATTAATAAAAGTTAAAAGCATTTCAAGTTTAGGCAGAAAACTAACTGAAAAACAAGAACCTACTCTATGGTTAGTAATTTCTTTCATGTCATACAAGTATTCAGGAAATCTGCTACCCTGATTAGTAAGACTGAACACATTGGTTTTGTCATTTATTCATGGAGGAAGTCCACCACCCACTTGGGGAGCAGAAGGAAATCTGTCATCTCAATTTACTTAACTTACCAGAAGTTTCTTTGCAGAAATATGACTGTTCCTTCAGTGGGCCATCATTTGTGGGCTTCTGTCTCTTTTTGGTCTATGCTCTGGCTGGAGATGTAGTCTATGCTGACATCAAAACTGTCAGGACTTCCCCATTAGAACTCCCGTCTCCACTTCAGAGATCTGGTAAGCTGGATTTAGGGTGCCTTTTAGAATTAAAATTTTACTAGTAATCTCCTTTATTTCTATCCTGTGTCTCTATTTGCCAAACTGAAAATAGGAGACTAGATTCAAAGCAAAATTCATTGAATGTTAAGAATAAGAGTGAATGTTTTTAATGAAGCAAAATGTCTGGTTCATAAAATAAATTGTAACTTTGATTTTAATATGTAGAACTTTGCCTCTGTTTTCGCAGCCTTTCTATTTCTTGATTTCTTGTGATGAATGTTTATATTCACACAGCAACTTCTAGCGGGATCACCCCTTTCTGCTCTACAGCTTTGCTCACTCTCAATCAAATCTGTCCTTTTAACATAATACGATAAATTCATCTCCACTGGGAAAAATACCTGTGGCAATTTACTCACATTGTTATTTATTCTTTTACAATATCAATAGGATAAAAATGTTAAACTAACTTAAGAAAACATGAAATGTTAGATTTAATTTTATAAAGGCTAGAATTAATGACTAGGTAATTGAATATTTCTGGAACCAGAGGAGATAAGCATATGCCTCAACTTAACATGGTGCCTTCATCACAAAACCCCCTCAAAAATTATAGATTTCCATAGCCAGTGTCTTTTCTATTCCCTGAAGTATTAAGGAAATTTCTTTGTCATGTTACAGTTCCATTCTCTGCTCTAGGGTAAGAATTTTTGTATCATAGAGTTTATATAGGTGTTTTAAATAATTTAAGGTTCCTCCTTTGCATTTGCCCTTGTGGAATGAATCTGATATTTTGTTTGTCCGTATTTCCAAGGAATGTATTTCTTCTTTATATTTTCAGAAGTTTATATTTATCAAATGAATCCAGTGTGTGCCCTTTTCTGGTCATAAAAGCATCTTGTTTCTTGTTTTAAACCTTACCTCTCTATTTTGCCCAGCAGAGGCTAACTTACTTTCTTTTCTTCCAGCTTAGGTGCTTTCATTTCCTATGAAATAGTGAAACATAATTTGAAAAATAACATGGACTACAACTGCAGTCTCATTCCCCTGTGCTTCAAAAATATCCTGCAATTAGTTTCTTTTTTCTAGAGGTTATTTTACTCAGTTTAAGCAAGAAAACCAATAGTTTTGATTCTGCATTCCAGGGTTTAATTGCCTTTCTGTTTATGGTTTGAACTTTTATAAATAAAACCTTGTTCTTCTTCCCAGTTTAGGGATTTGGGGACGACATCTTTTAATGTGATCTAGTTCAATCTTATAATGTTAAAAATGAGAAAACGAACTATATGAAGATGAAATTACCTACCTAGAGTCATGCTTATGACCAGAAGTCACATATCATATTGTTCTTGTGCTGTGTATGTGTGGTGTTAGATAAATGTAACTTTTGTTCTCACGTGTCACATCATCATCGAGGGAAAGAGTTGTTGGGTAGATTAGATTTTTGTTATCTTACATACAGAGTCCTACACAATCGTTCCTGATGTCTTCTAACTTCCTAACTTTCTCTGATTTTGCTGTGGCTACTGGCCTTTTCTTTGCTCCTAAAGGTTATCATATTTCTTGCCATTTCAGAGGCTGAAAAATGCTGAATCTTTCTACCTAATCTATGAATCTTTGTGTTTCTAGCACCTCACACAGTACCAAATATAGAGCAGGAAATTAACAGATGCTTGATAAGTAAAATAATTTATAAATGGTTGAATAAATAAATGAATCTCATTAGACGATGAATGTTCATTGGTTCTCCAAGATACAAAGCATAAGGGAATGTCACCAGGAAGCTTAGCAGGACATCAGTGAGAGGTTGTGCTTGAACTAAGAATATCCCAGAAATTTATGCTTGGCTTAAATCTTACTTTGGAGGCCTAAAAGAGTGATCAATATCTTTTATGTTAGTCTTTTTATGAAATCTACAATTTTATTCTCCTAAATTGAGGGGTCCATAATTTCAGTTCTTCATATTAGTAACATGTGTAGTGGCCAGGCACAATGGCTCACGCCTGTAATCCCAACACTTTGGGATGCCGAGGCAGGAGGATCGCTTGAGCCCATGAGATTGAGACCAGCCTGGGCAACACAGAGAGACCTCATGCCTACCCAAAATTTTAAAAATGAACACGGTGACACGTGCCTGTAGTCACTGCTACTCAGGAGGCTGAGGCAGTAAGATTGCTTGAACCTGGGATGTGGAGGCTGCAGTGAGCCATGATCATGCCACTGCACTCTAGCCTGGGCAACAGAACAAAAGCCTGTCAAAAAAAAAAAGAAAAGAAAGGAAAAAAAAAAAAGAAAAGAAAGGAAAAAAAAAAAGGAAACGTAGAGTGATATCACCACATTCTTTCTGTGACTGACTTGACTCCTACAATTTTGACTGTTTTGTCTGATGAGTGAAAATATGTGGACTTCTTTTGATGTTTTGAAAATTAATAAATTCTTATTAAAGATGTTTTAATTAATAACAATAATAACTAGAACATGAAACAATGCACTCAATAATAATCTAACAAATAAACATTCCACTTAATCAGTCTTGATATGATTATATTTCAATATCAGCTATTTTCAGTACTTTTCAGTACTTTCTCAGTGTATTGTGTGTTTATGTCACGTATCTAGTGGAAACAATGTACTGTAAATTGTATGTACCAGAGACTGTTGTTTTAAACTTTCAGCTTAAAGTTAAATGTACAACTTCTTTTATTTGGTTTATTTATTATCTTTTGAGTACTTCAAATGCAATGAGAAGTGTGGATACCGAAGGCAGCACTAGTCTGGTAGTCAAGAGACCTGAGGTTAGATATCAGCTCTGCTCTCAAGTAACTGTGTGACTGTGAACTTGAATATATCCATTTTAACACATGGGTATTGTGTTAAAATAATCGCTAACATTTCTTTTATGTTTAAATGTATGATTTTGTGGAATTACAATGATCTATCACAGGAAATGGATACATTATGTAAGAGGAGAAACAGAAAAGATCAACTCAAATTAGTGGGGTTGTCAATAAGCTTATTAGAGAATCTTGAGAGTTCCACAGTCTGATGTTTCCACAGACAAAACATCTTCTTAAAAAGTTTCTCTAGGATGCAACATTGTTCATGGATATTCTAGAGACCCAGGACCTGTTTTCAAAAACCCAGAGAGGCCAGGCACAGTGGCTCACACCTATAATCCCAGCACTTTGGGAGTCCGAGGTGGACAGATCACGAGGTCAGGAGATCGAGACCATCCTGGCTAACACGGTGAAACCCTATCTCTACTAAAAATACAAAAAAATTAGCCGGACCTGGTGGTGGGCGCCTGTAGTCCCGGCTACTCCAGAGGCTGAAGCAGGAGAATGGCTGAACTCGGGAGGCGGAGCTTACAGTGAGCGGAGATCCTGCAGACTCCTCCGTCTGGAAAAAAAAAAAAAAAAAAAAAAAAAAAAAAAAAAGGCAGAGACACAGACAGTGATCATAAGTAAGATCAATACTGGGGAATGTATACAGTGAATCCACAAGGAAAAAATCATATTTATTCAAATCAGAGAACACACGCATATGTGTGCTTTGTGTTGAAAAAAAAAAAAAAAGAAGAAGAAGCTGGGTCTACATATTTCAAAGGAAAGTAACTCAGGAACATGATAGGTGAGAAAGTTTATTTGGTCGTCTCCTATCTCTTACCATCTAAGGAACTACCTGCTGGGTTTACTAGGGAAATCTATGCAATTTTGTAGATTCTCACCACCATGGAATTGTCCTTGACGTTGGATGTGCAATAATATTATCCTTCTGGTAACAGTAATCGTACTGAATATTTTGGGTAAGTAATTACTAATATTATTTGTTCATCTCAAGGTATTATTTTTCTCATAACTTGTTGTAACTGTGTTTCCTATTTAAATGGTTCCTAAAAATATGATACGACTTCACAAAAAGTGTAAAATTTCATACACAAATAAAATTAGAGATTTTCTATAGAATTTCACCATGTGATAAAATATAATAAATTCATCTCAATGATAAAAGAGAAGTGATGCCAAGATTAGTTGTTTATTTTATGATCAAGATCATGCAGTGAATTTCCTAGTGCAGTCTGATATTGGGATATACACAGATGTCTCTGAAAGCATGTTCAGAAGAAAGCAAATTAAATTATGACTTGTATTTCTGTATGCTTATTTATATTAACTACTCCTAAGCATCATCAATCTTGTGGCAACAGGTGAGAAATTTTTCTACAATAAATCAATTCAATTGAGCATTATAAATTTATACTAATGTACTTTGGACATAGCCAAATATAGCCCAATTATTCATATGGCAATTATTTTAATGTTTTGTTGAATAAATGCTTGGGGAAAAGTTCTTTACAAATATCTACAGAACAGAGATAATATACAGATGATATACATTCCAAGTAATTCAGACTTCCAGATTAAACTAAACCCTAGAAAGGGTCAATGCAGCGTCTATGTGACTGAATCTTAGAGAATTATGTTAGTAAGTTATGAACGGCATTATCTATTACAAGTAAATAAGCAGAGTTGTAGAACTTTAGAACTAGAAGGGACTCCAGAAATCAGCAAAGTCTAGTTTAGATGGGCAGTCTGAAGCCCAGAGAGATAAGTGGTTTAACTACTTTAATGTAACTAGCCAATAGACTAATTAGGGCTATAAAATGGGGGTAGGGGGAGCAAAAATAATTAGCATTAAAAATCCCTACTCTACTTCTTTTCATTATGTTAAGGTAATAGAATTACCTTACTAAATAGTTTTAAAATATTACGTTACTAAAATAGTTTTTTAGCAAAACAGATTTTTTTGCTACTAAAATTGATGTTACTCATAGATTTCAAAGACAAAACATCTTCTTAAAAAGTTTCTCTAGAATGCAACATTGTTCATGGATATTCTAGAGACCCAGGACCTGTTTTCAAACCCCAGCTGCATCACTAATAAAATTCTTGCATTGGATACACTATATTATGATGTATATATGTTGAAGGATTAAAAGTACTCTGTATCAACATAAG